CCCCTCCCGGGCAGCGAGGGAGCGGCAGGGATGAAGAGACCCTGCCCGCACACGGGATGACCCCCGCTGTCACCTCTATGTGCGTTACCCGCTTCAAGGGCACCTTTCTTGCCACAGCGAAGCCTGAGTTTACTCCAGCCAGCAGCTGGTGTCCTGCATCGGCCCCAGCTGTCCCCTCCCAAGCGCTCGGGCGCTGCAGACGGGCTGGCGGGGCTCCAGGCACGACGGCCCTGCAGCCCATCTCCATCAAAACGCAACTCGAATAGTTTAAATACCCTAAATGGCTGGGCTTTGCTAACCTGGGCTTTTGACAGAGCTGGATGAGAGAGCAAGACATCATCAGCTCCACCAGTAGATCAGCAAATCCCTGTAACCTCTGGCAGGGATTTGCTGATAAGTCACTGGTGCCAAAGCAATGTGCAACATCCACAGACTCAGCACTTGAATCAAAAGCTCTAAATCCAGGCCTAAGGCTTCTCAAGCTCTTACCAGGAGTCTGGTGCAGATGCAAACTACCATATGAGCATAAAATGAGAAGAGTTAGTACATTTAAGCCCCATGATTGTATTATAAAGGAGAGACTTTATGCATAAAGCCCTGAGCACGGTGTGTCAGGACTGAGGATATGGTTCCCATCTGCTCTGGACAGAGCTGTGCCCTGCTCCTGCTGCATCTCAGTCATCAGGAAGAAGAGGAAATCCAAAGGAGCTCAGGAACTCCAGGGGACACCATGGTGTCAGTGGCTGACACTGGTGGGATCCCTTTATCAGCCTGTGGCTTCAGCAAAGGGGAAGTGGTCCCTTGGTGAAAAGCAATTATGCCTGCATAGCTGAGAGGGCAACTGGCCTGAAATCTCTCAGCTGGAAATGCTTGTTTGCCAGAGCAGAGCATACACAGGGTGTGCTCCTCATGCTCATTTAACAGCGTGGAGGTAATTTCCAGATTTCTGTAAGCATGCATGACCCTCTCTGCCTGCCATAAGCTTCTCTTTGGTCTATATAGACAGGTTCACACAGAGCCCTCCACTGCTGCCTGCTCAGTTCTGGTCTCTGCACCTACGCTCTCATCAGGCCGCACGAACACCCTGCGCCGCACAGCCGCGGTGCAGCGCCTGCCCAGCCAGGCTGCCAGGCACCACTGGCCTTGCACCACCGTCTCTTCAGCAAGCCTGCCAAACACAGCTTTACTGCTACCAGCATCTGTTAAAGGAGACCAAAAGCTTTCGCTGCATTCTGACAGGTAGCTGGGATGAGTAACCAGGCCACACAAAGTGCCACAGTACCCAGGCTGCCTTCCCCTTCCCCAGGAGGTAAAGATCTGGCTTCCCTGCAACCACAATCATGTTCCTTCCCTTGCAGCCCAGCTCTAGCTACTGCAGCCTATGCAGAACAACAGAGAGCTGTCTCAGGACTTACACTCCAAACATTCCTCACTGCTGGTAAACAGGGAGTGTCCATAGATACCACTGCAGCATTGGGAAAGCCGTGTCTCTGTCAACACTGGGACCTGGATTTACCTAACATGCAAGAATGTGGACACCACAGCACAGCTCACTACAGATGTGGAGCATCAACACTGCCATCTCCAAAATGAACACTTCCATCACCCCTCACCACCCAAAAAAAGTTCCACAAAAACAACTCTGTTCAGCAGCCTACATTTTACCTAGCTATGTAATTTACTCCAGTGATAGACAATTTTTTTGCTTAACAACTATTTTCCAATAATAGTACTTTCCAGTGCAAAGACCTTACATAATTAGCCCCATGAACTCGAGAGAACTAGCCTGCTGCTTTTGTGTTTTCACAAGTACATCAGAAAAAGAAGCAGCAGCAGCAAAGACGTCATGCATACAGTGCACACTGACAGCAGCGGCCAACATCAACCCAGTGTGGCCAATCTTGCAGGTCAGCAGACAGAAGAATTTTGCTGTCCTGCAGAAACAAGGCTGCAGATGTAGGATTATGCTTAAATGAGATGCTTTCCAGCACAGAAAGTGAGGCTGCACTTCATGACTGGTTAAATAGAAGGAGTAAAGAGTTGGAATTCTCCCCTCCCTGCCTCTCCATCACAAGCACTGTGTGTCTGCATAATGTTGTGATAGAGAAGAGAGAAGATAACTCAAACTTCTCAGGTAGGAACTACTGATGATAGCTCCCAGTGTCACACAGCAATGGGAGTAGGGGGAGGCAGCTGTGGCACACAGCTGTGCCAGGTGAACTGGTGGGGTGATCTTATGCCAGAAAAATGCCACATCGTGGACTCCTTTAGGTCCTTCCCTTAGGCACCATTAATTAATTTGAACACAAAAGCTTGCAAAGCAATGCACATTTCTTTCTCTAACTTAAACAGGCAGCAAAAGGCTTTGGAGACCCTTTTCTCTCGGCTTCTGTCTCTGCCTGGAAGAAAATGTACATATTCCTTTCTTGAGAGTCCTTTGAAAAGGCTTTTAAGTTAGGCAAGCAGCTTTTTACTGCTACTGGGTGTTGCACCTTCTTTGCTTCTGTTCGACTCTTTGAGCAGACGATCACATTCAGAAATAGAAAATATTCACACCAAGAGTTACAGTGGATTCAGTGAGCCTCGAGTGCCTACAGATGTTGGTAAGAGCTTCTCTAGTTCATAGGTATAAGCTTTGGTGAGCCTGGACTTTATTTATTGGAAAAATAGTCATTGCTAAAATGTCAGATGCCACAGACTGACAAAGTCCTAAACCTGCAACAAGCTTTGTCTTAGGCCTTCCTAATTTCTGCAGGCTTTATGGACTGCAGAAGCCAATCCTGGATGATAAAAGTAAAGCTGGATGTTCTCTAATGATTCACAATTGATTGGGAAGTTATAGTCACGTACATTTCCAGGGAAACAAACAAATCCTGACAGCTCCAATTAAGAGAAACAAACCACTGTCTAAAGAACAGCAGGGAGAGAAGAAAGTGTAACATTCTGACTTCCTCTGAAAAAAACCACTTTTTTACTGCAGAAAGAAGCCCTTTCACTGGCACCGAGTACAAGAAATGAAGCAGAAGGGTGGTCATTCACACTGAGTCTAACCAGCCTTGGTGTACTTTTTCAGCCCCTGAAGAGCTGCTGCCAGGCACACGGAGCCACGGGCAACTTCAGGTACATTGCCCTGTGCAAACCAAGGCGCTCAGGCTGACGCAGCCTCCGCCTGGGGATGTTGCAGGAGACCTGCTGTGCAGGTTTTTTTCCACTTGATAGTAGGTGTATAAGGGGAAGAGAAAACTTTAAAAGCCTAATCTAAATTCAGCTGCAGGAGGTAGCTTTTAATTGCACTTTGGATCAATAGAGAAGCAATCTAACACTTGCTTTTGGTTACTAGGCAGGGGTTTGTACTTTTCCAGACAATTTTCTCCTGCTTTTCATGTTTCCTTTTGCTTCTTTGCTCACATAATCTGGATTTTCCACAATTTAAGTGCAGAACAAAGCATTGAAAACACTAGAGAACACATTGCATTATGCATCTCTGCCATGTACCTTTTCAGCAGCAACAGGATGTTCAGTAAGTAGCCCCAACATTTAAGCAGTTAAAAGTACTAAAAAGTATTTAAAATAGCAGTTCAAATCCACTGTATTGAAGTGATAGGTTTACACAAGTACTTAAAGGGTGTCAAAGAGCATTGTATTTTATGTCCCAGTTGTATAAAACTATAAAGCTCCATCCAGAAATCTTCTATCGAGGATGTGTTATTGTAGCCCTCTTGTGTTCAGTTCTACTAACAGCTATCAGACCTACAGTCCCCTTCCTTATGATCCCGTAAATCAAGGCTCTGCATGTTTTAACCACACTGCCATTCAGTTCTTTGCCCTCTTCACTTCTCCTCAGTTTCTTTCATGTTTTTCCTTTTTCCATCTTGGTTATAAAATCACATCCAGAGCACACTTCTGAACCAGTAGAGTGCTCAGTTGGTATATTCACACTGAAAAACATAGGAACTACTGTTTGGAGTAAGAGGCCTAAAATATCCCTCATTGCCTGTAAACATATTCCCAGCATTTTTTCTCCATAAAAGGACTGCAATGAACACAATTTACAGCCTAGTTTCTCTGTTTTAGACAGCGCCTATGAGAGCAAGTTTTAAATTGAGTGTCCCACAGACACCCCTTAGACATATGCAATGTTTCTCTACCCTTACTGAAATCACCCTGACAATCTCCAAAACCTCTAAGCACTATTGACAGTCCTGTTGATCCCAGACCTTCCCTACCACCAATCACCAAGACTAAAAACTCACCACTGCACAGTCAGGGTAGTAAGAGGTAGTGGCTTTTACCGTATTCTTTTCCAGCTTGCAAAGGCTGTAGCAAACAGAAGAGCAAGTTATGGCTGCATTGCTATGGGTGCTTAATGGGATGGAGTCTTGTGACTGAGGGTGAGGTAATGGGTTGCTTCCTAGAAGACACTCACCTTCCATGTCTGCTGCCTCAGTCATCCTTAGTTCAGCCACTGTGAGACCTGGCTCACTCTTTAGATCAGGAGGCTCGATCAGTTCAGTTGGGCTTCAAAAGCTGCTGTCACCCATCTCAAGGAGACAAGCTCCAACTGGGATGTGCTGTAGAGGAAAAAACCTGGAGAAGGAGCCAAAAACTAAGAGAGAAAGAAGGAGAAATAAGTAAGGACAGAGAAAATACAAAGCACAGTACTAGAACAGAAAAACAGCAATGGCATAGCAACAACATCATCAAGGAATATGAGGAGGTAGTGCCCACTTTTGATCACCAACACAAGGGGGTGTTGGACTCGATGATCTTTAGAGGTCCCTTCCAACCCCTATGGTTCTATGATTCAATTCATGAAAACATAACAGTTTTTACAGATACATACATATAGAATTTGAGAGCAGCTAAAACCGTAAGGAAAACAGGCTTCAGAAAGGAAAAACTAGATATAGACAGTGAAAGTCATGGTATTGTCTGTTTGAAAGACAGCTATAGTAGTAAAGCTAGAAGGAAATCAAATCCTTTTCTGTGTCTTTCCCAGAGGAGAAAAGCATGTACCTCCATAACATTTGTTATTGCAAGCCAATTTCCTGAAGAACAGGGTAATATAAAGCATTTCAAAAGAAAAATGGAAAGACCACATCTAAAAATACAGATGAGAAATCATACAGTCGACCTGTATTTCTACATAAATTTATCTTGGTTTTGAGCTGGATAAATGCTAAGAGATACTTAAACCTTTGGGTGTCTAATGGAAAGCATGATTCATAGTACCAGGTCCTTTGTAAACAAAATTGACAGGACTTACTTAGTAATTCAGTTGTCACAGCTAGATGTAAGGCAATCCATGATATCTTTGTGACAAAAAAGCAGTTTAGGAATGAACATATCAAATACTCTGCAGACAAGCCAGTGAATCCCACCCAAATTACCTCAACTACTTTTTGTCAGCACTAATTATATAGTAAAACTGGTAAGAGACCCTGGGTACACAGCTGAGGGGTACACAGCTGAGTTGGCACAGTTAGTTATGGCAACTCTGAGCTGCCTGTATGTTGGGGGAAAAAGGCTCATGCTATAGCGTTTCTAATTACCTCATTTATTTCAGTTTAGTTTATAAACTATTTTAAATTCAATTTTATGAAAATTAAATTGTATAGATTTTATAAGATATTATTGATACTCCCTTTGCTGAAGTGATAACATGAGCACTGTCTTGTAATCTGTTCAACTACTGGCTTTTACAGGGTTTAGTAGGACCACAGTACAGCTACCTAGAGGCCATGCCCTAACTTCCTCCAAATGGGCAAAAAAACTATGTGGGATCATTTGGAAGCAGCCACGTAAGAAATCATTGAGAAGGCTTGCCTTATAGCCCTGAGAAAAGAAGAGACAGCCTTCAAAAGCCACATTGCAACTCACTGAAAGATGGTTAGTTGCTGACAGTATTTTTTTTAAATTTAAGTGGCAGAAATTAATCATTTAACATAGAGTTTGATCATGATAATTCACTGTTAGCCAGCACTGAGGACTTTGTCTACAGAGACAAAAAGCACAGGCTACTCAGCCATCCTTCCGAGGTGGTAAGAGTTTGTGAAACCCTTTCAGATTCCTTCTGTTGCTCCTGAATACCCTGAGGCACAGTGAGCTACACTCCATGTTAACAGGCTGCCATTCAGGCATCCCAAGTGTTACAAAGCCAGATAGGTAAGTATATATATACACACACCAGCTTGCACCCGTCCTTTCTTTGTGAGGAAGTATCATGAGACTTGTGCAGCTGCAGTCTGAGTTCTTGGTATATATAATATTGTAGACTCTGCTCATCTCATCCAGTATAAATTAGAATTTCTCTAATACCTCAGACATGTCCAAGGGATCTCAGGGAAGGGGTCGATCCTCTGATACTTTGTACTGTAAAAACCTCTGCAGACTTCTGAAGGGGAACCTGATGAACCAGAGGTCTATACAAGCTGGCAAGCAGGACACAGGACAGGGTCCCTAGCTCGGATCACGCAGCAGTTCTGTCTCTCAGCTCACCGATTTGTTACAGGCCTTTAACCCCACTGCTGCAGCTCATGCAGCTCCAACACAACACATCTGAATAGCTCTTCCTCCAACCTAGGATTTGGATACAGGCCGTGTAAAGGAGGAACCAGAGCAAACAATGGCAGTTGTGCATTCACAGAATGGAAGAAAAGATGGAGCATCCAAATAGACTAAGTGAGTACCAAGAAATATTTTATTGTACACGTAATCAAAGTTTAAAAAACAGACAAGAAGGAGCAACGGACAGAATTATCTAGCATCTCTTAACTATGCAGGGTACAGAAATACAACTAGTAAAGAATTAGCACATATTAGTACCCTTTGCTCCCCTTCCCTGCCCCAGAGAAGGAGGTTAGACAGGTGAGATTAGTAATGCTTCAAACCAAGCCTTCTCAGTAACTGCACACTTGAGCTGACACACTTGAAGTATGTTCAGATTCATTAGAGTATGTGCATTCAAAATGGTTGTTTATAAACAAAAACCCTATCATTTTAGTGGTTTGTAGCATTACTCACTCAACACCAAGAGTATACTTATATGACTAATAATTTAGCAGCTGTAACTGTCTTGTTATATCTGAACTGGCACTATCTTTAAGTATAACAATTATAGAAAATAGATTCCTTAGGTTTAACAATATGTAGTAGAGAATATATTATCTAGTGGCAAAACCGTAAGGTGAGGAGGCAGAGGAGATATTCACAGGGAAGGGAGGGAGCTGCATGCTGAGCAAGGGGCATGTTGACTCATCAGAACTAAAAAAGCTGAAGCTCGGGAAGGCTGGCTGCAAAGGAGTTACACCTCAGTATCACTGGTGTAAGTTTCAGAACATCTGGTTTGAAAAATATGCTATCCATCCCACATCTACATCAATCTCCCAGCTGAACTCATGACTCTAGATCCTCCTCACCTACCACAGCAGGATCTTAAAACTGTTCTAGCAATGTAACTGATGTTCAGCCTCACATGCTGCGAGGAAGAAGGATCCCATTCTCTTCCAGAGCCAGATACGAAGAAGTCTGGAAGTGAATGCAGGACATTATCAGGGCTTATTCTCCCCTTCAGCCCTCAGTTTGCTTCCGAATTCACAAAGGTGAAGGCCTTCAGAGCAGAGAGCTGCAACTTTTCTCCAGTACAAGCTGATTTTCTCTCAATAGCTTAGAAATAAGCCATCACAAAAAACCAGTAAGCTATACAGCATGTAGCAAGGGATGAATCATATCAGTGTGACAAGTGCTAAATCCAGAATTGAAGGCAAGACGAGTTCTGGGATTCTCACAAAAGAGGGGTTTTTTCATCCTGCAGTGGTCCAGTAAGTCTAGCAAATTAAAAGACGCTTCACAAAACTTCCAGAGAAGGCCCAAGGAAAGGTAGATCCAAAATAACAGTAATTAACATATCCTGGACTCTAATGCCCTTTGGACACTATCAGCTTTTTGGCTTAAAATGCAAGTGAATCATGATATATTAACAATACCATGATATTCATCTATTTCAGCCTACAGCATGGTCCAGTGCAGATTATTAGTGTCAAGGTACACACCCATGACTTGAATTCACTAACACTCATAGCACCACTTGACTGTTGCTGTAAATAAAGACAGTCTAACCCCTAAGTTCTCTGCCAGAAAGAGCCTATTATGTTTGATAGTTGTGCAACACCACCTATTCCAGGCCAGCTGACCTACCCTCATTTTTTGTCCTCACACATATGCATCTGTTTTCAGAAAAATCTGAACAGCTCCAAGCTTAAACTCTGTGACATACCACCTTAGCTATCAAAGCCTCCAAATATGCTTTCCTTACAAAGTTCTAATATAGGAAATTCACACAACTGGCAGACCAATGTATTGACAATACCTCACTAGTTATTTCCCAAACTGCACAGTTGTAGAAGTCTCCCAGCTCTTCTTCATACTTCTCAGCTTTGAAACAAGAAAGGATCAATATAGGTATCTCAGGATTAAAAAACCTAGATACAGGGGAAAAAATAGCTGTTCTGTATCTCAGTAATTATTGCTCAGTATTTAATCTGTTTTAAGCAACACCAAGGCAATGCTTGAATTTATGCTCACTTAATCAGAGACAGCTTCCCTATCACTAAAGAAACATCAGCCTTTCCACAGGAAAAAGTCTCTAAAATTTGGCTGGCCTTTTTTTCTTAGCCATTACATTTAACAAGGCAGACTTTCTTAGCTTGCCATTCTAACAGTATTACAGAGTTCCCAAAGTATATGGCCCACACCTACAGCCTGTCTTTAAAGTAGAGGAGCTGGGCTGCACATTTTCATAAGAACTACAGAAGTTTATTAGCTATGCTAAAACACTACTTAAAGAGCCTAGAATTGGTCAAAGACTCATCAGCTACCTAGACAGAACAAAACAGCTGTCCCACAAAAGTGATTTCACTAATAACTGAACTTGAAGACAAACACTACAAGAAAGCCAATAAAGGAAATCTTGTGTGATCAAAGGTTCTCTTACTATCTCATCTGAAATAAGCTACCTGCACTTCAAAGTACCTCCCTCTTCCATAGGAATAACCAACATATCTTTTGGAGGCAGTTCAGATAGTGACTGTTCAAAAGTATTTCTACTTTGTGGAAGAGAGAATAAGTTATTTTACTATTTGCACAAATTGAAGTTACTGCACTCATTTAACTCTGATGTTTTAGCTATAAGGTATCTGTACAAGATATATCAGCAGAGATAGCACATGGGTAACACTACATATGTAAACCAAGAAACAACAGGTTCTTCCATCAAGGTGTGATATTGCAGGTAAGCCATTTTACGTTAGTCCCAGAGGCTGCAAAACTGCACTTCTGCACCATGGGAATTCCTGGTGAGCCCAACAGAAAAGGTGACTGTCCATCCTGGAACAGCAGCAGGAGAAGAATCAAGCAGCCAGTGTTTGCAGTAATATTCTTAATAAGGATTCCATTCATTCGGTGCATATTGCTGTACATAAGGTGCATAAACCTGTCAGGCATGAGATCAGCGAGAAGAGAAGCCAGTTGCAAGGCTGCAACCAACTACTGGCGTCATGTCCCAGATCTGGAAGAAAATATTGTGGAGAATTACATAGCAATATTGTAATACCTAAGGGCTATTTCTCTAGGGAGCATAGAAGCAAATATAAAGACATGCCTGGACACAAAGGAATAAATCCTATTTAAACTAAATTTGAGTAAAATGTCATAAGGAGCTACACCAGCCTTACTAACCAAAACAAGCCAAACACAAGCCAAACACAGGCCCCACAAGCCAAACACAGGGCTCAAGATAGTCTTCTAGAAGTCTTCTGTAGGTCTGTTTTTAAAAGTGCTATGCAGTTTGTTACTAACATGCTTACAGAAAAACAGGGACAGACTGGAACAATCTCAGCTCTGACATGCACAGCAGATATATAGCTTAAGCACAGCAAGACCCTACATCAGTCTGATTTCCACATTAGTTTCTCGTAACCAGGGTTTTAGTGGCAATGCTCCAAGGAGCCAGGCAGCTCAGAGTAAAGGGAACCTGCATGTTTCACCATGCCTAAGGCCACCAGCAGATTCTCCTACTGCTGCTGTCTGCTTTGTTTTTCCCAAGGACACCAACAGTAACCAGTCCTGACAGCTAGACTCCATCCAGTGGAGTTACAGGTCCTCATTCTGCTGCAGGAAGAACAGTCTACTACAAATACAATTCTTGCTGGCCACAACAGTTAGCTTTGTAGCAACAGTTGTCAGAAAGAAATAAGTATATACAAACATTAATTCTCTATTAAATATCTCTAATAAATGCAGGAAAGAAGTACATTAATACCTTCACAATCCGGTCACTCCCACAAGTCACCATTAGCCCTCTGGAGATGTCCATGGACATATGTGAAATGTTGTGTTTTCCTTCATGAAAGGTTGCCAAGGAAGTACGGCTGCACAAGAACAATTGGAATGAAAGCCAGCCATCTGATGAAGCTTGATGGCATCATTACAGCAGTGCAAAATAAACTTACAAGAAAATTAAGTTGCTCAAGTATTAATAAATCAGTCCTGAGAACTGCAGTGCCATATTAAAGGGGGCAGAATTAAATTAGCAAGTCGTGCTAAGGCATTGCTCGTGTAGTTATACAGGTGTGACATTTTCTGGCCTTCTGCAGCCTGACTGTTAATAACACCAGAGCAGAAGTGTGACACTGCATTACTGAAAAATCTTGGTTATAAAGTCAAGCTCAGCAACATTTTTTCCTGCTGGCTATAGTAAATCAACTAGGGCACAGCACCTCACTTTTAAAAAAACCAACAAGCAACAAAACCAGACACAAAACACCCACCGCAAAAAAAAAAAAAAAAATCAACCAAACCAAAAAAACCAACAACGAGAAAACAAAAAACTCCAACCACTGCCAAAATTGGCATCTGATTTATTTTGGTCCTTTAGCACTCCAGGTGTTCAAGGAGGTGACAAGATATAGAGCAATAAAGTGCCATTCATATTGGGATAAGAAGGGGGTTCCTTCATTGCTAAGAAGAATTTAACGAGGCAGCAAACAATGTTTCCCCAGCAATTCGCTTGCAGGGTGCAAAAAATACTTCCATAGAAACAGTTTTCATTAAGCGTACATGAACTAATTGCACATACATCCTGGGTGCTGTGATGTATTACAAGGCAGCCATTTCCCACTTTTAAGTGCAATCAACACACTGTACCTAAACAGAAATCTTGATACAATCATGTTTCAACTCTAGATCTGTGCTCATGGAAAATAAGACAAAGTGGATAAAACAAGTTGTAATATCAAATCTGATTCAAATCAGCTTGCAGAGCCAGTTGAGGAATCTCTGCTATTCTATTGCTTTGAGTGCTCAAGTCAAAGGTGGCCTATGAGCAGAGAGTCAGCTTGGCATGCTTGTGTAGCACCATGTGTGCACATGGAGCACAAGTGTTTCTGCACCTCAGAAAGTAAAGTATTACTTTAATTTCTTATTCCTTAATACTCACTCTTCATCCTTGATTGACTCAAAACAGGAATCGCAGACACGGACCTGGAACTCAAATCCCATGATGGGGTAGCTCGACCGTTTGGTACTGCACTTGCCACACACTGCTTGCCCACATTTTCTGCAGTGATGCTTCATGAATGAAGAAGAAAAAAGACAAATAAAAAGATCCCACTATATTGTGCCACTTGACCATCCTACCAAGTGAACAACAACAACAAAGCTTCTGTTCTGCAACCTGTTAGGAAATCTCCTGTTACTTCCACAAAAGACCACAGACTCTGGACTTCTGAATAGTTTTATGGACCATTAATGGGTTTACCTCCGTATTTTCCCTGTCCAAACTTTTCTTTTGCAAGCTCCTTCTGGGAAGGACAAAAACAGGGTTGAACAAATAACCAAGGGAACAACAGTCTAAGAAAGCCATAAACAGATTAGTGTCTTGGTGCGGTCCTGTCCCTCCAAAAAGAAAGCTGTTTGGAAAGCTTTCACATTTTAGACCAGTAAGAGCAGGGTGATCACTGCTTCACTGAGCTGGGTACCCTATAACACCTTAGGCTGCAATTTGCTCAGTTATGGGACATTGTGTGCCACTTCACACAACACTTAAGGATTAGCTGTCCACAGCTTGTGCGCAGAAATCAGGAAACCCAACAGAGCACTGCCAGCACAGCTGCTCTGCCCTGTGATAGAAGCTGAATGCAAGACTAGAATAGAATAGAATTTGGAAATTTCTTAGCATTGCCTAGAAACAGTGACCTGTCAATAAACCCTCACTTCAAAGCAGCAAAATACCAACAGTTTAAAAGTTCTAACAGCTTTAGTGGTTTTCTGCTTGTATTCTGCTTAAGTATATCCAAGCACTTAAATCAGCGATCTCACCTGTCTCAGCCCTAATGTCTTTGTGTCCCACATTTGCTTTATATTCCAGAAGAAAGGTTGTTCACACTTCTGACAGGAATCACTTTCTAACCACTGAGGAGCCTACAAAAGAGCAAAAGATGCAAACAAGCAGAATTATTTTTCTTGATACGGCAGCCAAAGAAGTTTGCTTTAAGAACGCAAAGCAAAGTTTACTTAGAAAGATGCCCTGTCTCAACTCTGGACATTACAACAATAGATTGCCTGGTTACAGTACATAGGAAATTTGGTACCAAAAAATCCAAATCCAAGACTACAGTTACTTGTTACCCACACAGCTCTTATAGTTTTTAAGCCCAAAGCAGTATGTTATGTTACTGTCTTAATAAGAAAACTAATTAAAACATCTAAGTTATTAAACATGCTGCAGGCATTCAAAGACTGCTTCTCTGGTTGCCTAGATGATTTTTAAGGGCTAGTGTAATCTAAGCTGTAGAAGCTACGAGGCAGTCAACCCCTCTAGGGGGTAGATAGAGTTGAGAAGTAAATTCTGGACATAAATATCTTTTCTGCTTCCCTAGAATTGCAGTTTGAAATAATTAAGAACTGATCTGCATTTTCTTTCTGCCCACATCTTCATTAAGCATCTCTTCTCCACCCACATGTTTTTTCCTGCCATAAATGAACTAGGCCAAATGAAAACAGTCAGAGCTTTCACACATTTCAACACTCTCAGATACTTTAACTGAGCATCCTTGTAAGGGACAGACAGAGGCACAACATTTTTAGTATATAGACTTGAATTAGAACATCCTATACAACTTTATACATCTGATGGGGGAGTCTCCCTGAAACCTGGTAAGAGAAAATTGGAATGAAGCAGCTTTTCTTCTCAATTCACTTCCATCCATTGCTGATAGTAATAAAACACTAATATTGTCAGTTGCATCACCATCTCACCATGAATATTTATTAATACCAGATGCCCAGTTCCTGCATCTTCAACCTTGATTGCATCCCCTTCCTTCCCCCATTACTAATACTGTAAAGGATAGGAACAAGTCCAGCGTGGGGGGTGCGGAGGAGAATAGAGGAAATTAGTCACCTCTTAACCAAGTGAGATGTTTCCTATTACTTCTTTCAGTTACTTACAACAGTACTTTTCACCTAATAGCATTTTAGAGAAGACAATCCACTTCCTGGTCCCCCTGACAGAAAACCAGGATATCTTCATAAAACCATAAAGCTTGGAAGGGGCCTTAAAGATCATCAAGTTCCGGCCCCCCTGCCATGAACAGAGAACCCCACCACTAGATCAGACTGCACAAAACCTCATCCAACCTGGCCTTAAAAACCTCCAGGTACAGGGCACCAACAACCTCCCTGGGCAACCCATTCCAGTTCCTCACCACCCTTATAGTGAAGAATTTCTTCCTAATATCTAACCTAAATCTCCCCTCTCAGTTTAAAACCATTACCCCTTGTCCTATCACTATCTTCTCTGATGAAAAGGCCTTCCCTAGCTTTTCTGTAGGCCCCTTCAAGTATTGGAAGGCCACTATAAGGTCTCCCTGGAGCCTTGTCTTCTCTAGAGTGAACAGCCCCAACTCTCTCAGCCTGTCTTCATAGCAGAGGTGCTCCAGGCCAGACTGAATCTCTGCATTCTGAACAGCATCTCGAAAACAGCATCTCACTTCTTTATGGGCTTAGACGTGAGTTGAGAATTTATTTCAAGACTGTTGAAGCCCAGGCCACTGGTTTCTCCACTGTAAAAGCTTGCCAGCAGCAATGGCTGTAGACACTGCAGTGAATGGCATCTCACTGAGATGTGATCTTACCTCTTCTCGGCTGATATCCATGTTCCAAACAGCAATTCCCCCATCAGCTGAACAAGACACCAGCTGCCGTGTCAGCTGGAGGTAACAGATAGCCTGCACCTTGTCACTGCAAACAAAGCAGATACTATTTACCCAAAGGTATTTAACCAAAGTTTTGTTTCCCAGTAAACCCAAATTTATCCTTGTAGAGCTACCTAGGAAGCCAAAACTGATTTCCAAACACTTTACTAAGTCTACTAAGTAGAGCTATGAAGATGAGCAAACAGATGCTGTCACCTAAACACTACCCTAGCATCAGGATGTTGCCTAGAACAGCGTTCCTACAGGCTTGACCAGAATACCAGAGGTACAGTTGCATGTTGACATCTGCTGGCAGGAAGCACTGCCCGTGAGCTGAGTGTCAAGTGGCTCAGAGTGTGTGTGCAAATACTCTGCTATGTCAACAAGGACAGTCAGTTATCAAAAACATAGACAACTGGAAAAATAAAGAGAAGTATTTGTTTCAAGATACAACCAGGGAGCAGATAGAGCTTCCAGTTCTGCTAATAAATCACAATAAGTCTGTAGTTGCAAAGCAAAGCATGTGTTCACCAACAAAACAGTTTAATCATAAATGAAGTCATGGCAAAATAAAAGTATACCCTAAGAAACTAAACAAAGGATCTCAACGCTATGAGACTGCTTTGCAACATCTAAGTTAAAGAAGCCATTCTCCTCCTCAGAACTTACTTTCCCATTCAATATGAAGTTTGATGAAGTTGGAGAGAAACTAACTGTTGTAAGTCTTCACTAGGACACATGATGCAGCAGTAACAGTCACTGAATTCAGTTACTTTTTTTTGTAACCAGTACTCTATTATTAGTTCTTTAGCCATAAAACTACATCCTCAAGATTTAACAAGAGTTCTAGGGCTAAGGCTATCAGTCTTGATCAAAGGTGGATGGAAGGCATCTATGGAATTAGACAAGAGGAGAATGCACTATACAAATACATCTTTGAACATAAACAAGATCTCTACTACCACTGCATTTCTCAGTGGAATGCATCTGCAGTGGTGAACTGCCTGTCAGATTGAGTTAAGGCCCTAGATTTAAAAATGGTAGCTAGTGTTGTGTCTCTGCAATAATAAGGAGTTTATTAAATACAAACAAGTAACTACTTAATCCACAGTCCAGTGGAGACGTGACATGCTTTTCTGAAGCTGAGAGACTATCCCTGTAATTTAGCCTATCAGTTTATCACTTCACTGCAAGAAAGAGACAGAGAACAGGAATATATTGAAGCTGCTTCTACATGGGCACACAAATATCCTTACAGATCAAGTTTCTAGCCCCACCCTCACAGACAATTCAGTGAAGAATTTACAATACAGAAGCATGCAGCTTTTACAAAAAGTCCAAGCAAGATGATCTAGGATTTTTACCCACCTCTTTCTCTAGCCTACTTTTATGTAATGTCCTGTTTTCATTGTTCAGAAGTTAACATCATTAACATGAGGGGGGGAAGATTTATCAGTAATGCTTTCCAAGAACCAATTATCCTTCCTCCCCCTTAAAGACCTCAGAGTTTTGCAAAAAGTTACTTTCTTCATTATTCAAAAAGATTTAAATGTTTTGTCACGCTATTTAGTCTTTCTAAATAAAGGGACTCTGTGTTCATTACAGAACATGTAGGAAAAATAAGAAACTGTTACATACTGATGTCCCTGGAGTAGCAGTGTTCGTCCCTTCCTTCCACCAATATCCCACATGATAATGCTGTTATCAGAGGCACCTGAGAAAAGCAGTCGTTGAACAGGATCCCACCACAGGGAAGTAATACTTCCTAGGAAAGAACATTCAGCAGTCAGATCTAAGGGAGCCACTCCCCAACACAAGGATGCTCTTCTGGGTCATTAAGGTGAAACCTGAGGCATTTGAGCAGAGACTAGTGCAAAAGCATTCAGAGATAAAGGAGGCTCTAGGGATAAGGTAATTATTTTTCTCTTAACTGAAGCAATCTGACATTCTGCTTGAAAGAAGAGGCATTTATTATTAAAAAAAAATCACAGCTTGCCTCAAAATCATTCAAAACCAGCTTTATCATGTTACAGTCATCTGTAAATCAGGAGTCTACTCAGCTTTAACAAAGTCTGCTCTGTGCTTACAGATATCAAACAAGGCAGCCTTTTCCAGTGTCTCAGAGACTCATGATCCAGTAAATCATCCCCACCTAGTCAGCTGATTTGAAAGTTGCCAGTACCACATGGGAAGAGACATTAAGTCTTATTTGTCTCAGCATATTATTAAATTACACATTCTTCTGTGATTTGCATTCTTGCCTTACTCATTACAGCCAACAGTGGCTCCATATCATGTTACAGACTATTTGGTTCTTCATTTAAGGACTTCAGCTGTACTACACAGCATAAGACATTTGTCTTTGACAAGATGGTTTGGAGTCTAAAAAGCTCTCTAGATTTCTTGCACGTAACTTACATTTCAGCTAAACATAAGAAACTCAAGTAAAGTCTTAAAGACTGATCAAAACAGCAAAGTCTGCATTGGGAAGAAGTAAGTGCCTTTTTTTCAATCTAGACTAGAGGTAGCTAAAGCTGCTTTAGGTATTATGATGGTGATACGAGGTCTCCAGAAAAAAAAAATTTAAAAGTAAAACATTTTCATATTTTCTTTTCAATGTTAAGGAGTCTAATGTTTTTAAAGGTGGCCATCTAGTGGGTAACTTGCGTTTAACTGAATCCATACATATACCTTTATTTTTCACATATAATAAAAATACTTGTTAGTATTTTTACAGCTGAGATTTCCCCTCAGGAGGAATGTGTCTGTTCTTTAAAAGACAGCCATATGCACAGCTTTGAACAGCTTTTGATAACTGCTACCTTGCACTAGTTGTTTACCGAGTATCTATCCTTAAGAGGTAGATAAACAACTAGACATCCCACCCCAATTTACAAAGAGGTTCTATAATCTGGGTCAAGTAGAATTAAGAGGAAATGTTATGTTACCTTCATGCCCTTTGAGTGTTGTGATAACTGAGCATGTATTCTGCTCAAGCTTCAGGAGGGTGATCTGTCCAGAATAATCACCCACAAACGCATGCCGAGTTTCGTGATCATATCTAAACACCAGTCAAGGAGAAGCTTAATTTACTCTTAAGAGAATTTTATTAGACTGAAACAGATAGTGCAGCTCTCAGCTACAAAGTCTACACATATTGGAAAAGAACATTTTAATCCACTAGAGAAATATTTACAAAGCTACTTTTAAAGGGGTCAGACACCATAATAGCTAAACCTTTTATCTTTCCTCCTCACACTTCCCTACATGTGCAAGTTGGACAGTATGGAAAATAAGCGAGAAAAGTTGTAGAAAACCACTGGAGAAGCCATGAGATAATCCATCCCCCAGTTTAAGGCAAGCAAAGTAGATTTACCCCATTTCTAGCAAATATTTATAGAATACATTCATGATCTTCTTCCACAAGAGACGCCAGAACTCCAGGCTGCTTGTTGTGCTGCAGAGGTACCATCAGGAGCAGCTCACTGGACACTGGGTGGCATTTAGTTTTTCTTAGTATCTGCTCCTATATGCTCTTAGTTTTCTAGCATGTTATACTAGGTGATGCCCTCAGGACAGGAAAACTAAGATACAAGGATGTTGACCATCCACAGCCAATGTTCTAGCTACTGTAAGAGTGAGACCATCTAATTTCTTGTTCTGTTCTCTGCACATTCAAGTTCACTAATGCAGGTTCTTGAGCACAGTATGGAAGACAACTGTGTTTCAGCAAGCACTGACATAAAACCAGGAGCACATCCTAACAGGGGATCTATTATTAAAACATTAGAGTGTTTGGCAAAAGCATGATACATAGTACCTGTTCTAGCATTCAGTATTTGTCATTATGTAACTACTATCTGCAGAAACCAAAGCATAGCAAGCTACATGGAACTAGATCATTTGTCACCTTTAGAAGACTTCTACTATTCAAGTTACAAGCAAGAGCCAAAAACAGACCATAAGCTAATACCACAACCCAAGAGTTGTGTATAACCTCCCCCATTCCCCTGGTGTCACACAAAACCACAGCCAGCAATGTAGCCTGTCCTATGCAACAAAAAACACTTAACTTTTAAAAGTCCCTGTATGAAAAAGTCCATCTCCATAGGTGAAAAAGCAGAGGTTTTGCCAACTGATGACATTCTGGAATCTCTTAAGCATTCAGAATCCTGAGAGAAACAATTCAATTTCAACAAATGCACTAAGACCATGAACATGTGATCATTCCTTCATCTGGGAAGTTCAGGCTGGCATTATCCCCACTAATCCAGTAAAGAATAGGCACTCTGCTTTGATTTTCAGAAGCTTAGATACAGGATCATTAACAAATAACTCTTAAGGAACCTTCAGACAGGGAGACCAAGCACTTAGTACACACACCAGAAAGCTCATTTTTCCAAACAGGGGTCCAAAGGCAGGATCAATTACAATGCACTTTCAAATGCCATGGCCTTCAGTGGAAATTTATTTTTATCTTGATAGAAAAGGCCATTTTCTCCTATTTGCACACTGGCATCTGTTGAATAAAGTGACTTGCCTAGGATGTATTCAGGCCAGAGCACTAGTCACTTCCACGAGATGCTACAAACATCTCAAATTAGGAACGAACCACACTGCAATTTCTGTAAATCAAGGTCACAACATCCCCTTCCACTAACAACAACTAACAGAAATAAAGGTATTCAATATCTAATCAGAATAAGGGTTTGCAGAGCTCCAAGTGATTTAATTTTAGCTTTTCATGGAAAAGGAGGGAACAAATTGAGCTAAAGGAACAAAGTACTCTTCCAGTTTCAGGGTAGCAATAATTTTTAAAAGGATACTGTAGACATGAAGCCCAAGAGGTGAAGTAGTGTCTCCCCAACATACTCCCACTCCTGGTGCACATCCAGCTGACACACTTATCATGACCAGTGCTGATAACCCACTCTGATGTCAGGCAGAAAATAATAGCAGACACTCGATTCTGATGAGCTGTGGGAAGAAAAAAATTCTGCCTAGATTTTCCCAAAAAACAAAGTAATGTGTTTTTGTGTTCTAATTCAGAGAGACACAGGCTGAAGATGACATCCAAGCAATGCCCAGGGAGACTTTTTTACCATCATATTATACTTGCCTCTAGGCTGAATTAAAAGGTTAGCATTGTTTGGTTTGGTATTTGCCTTACAAATAGCTTACAGGAACCAAACACAGCAGTCAGCTAATTTAAGCCCTTCTCCCACAGAGAGAGAAGCTGAGCTCAGCCCAGATGCCCAAGATCCTCTGGTTAAAGAGCAGGCAAACCCTAAGCATCCTCTAGTTAAGCCAGGACTTCTGGGGACTAAAGTAACACATCTAAACCCCTTAATTGCTTTCTTTAGGTGCCTCTTTTCCTGACTGCAGGGGAGCCACACTCAGATTCATGTTTTTAAGCACCTGAAAGAATATCTAGTTCACAACGTTCAAACCACTACCTGTGAGAGCAACCAAATCCCACTCAGCTTTGTTTAGAATGCTGCCACTAAGCAAGAAGTTACATGAGCATTACAAGGAAGTCCCTCTTGCACCCCAAGATTCAAGTATTTCCCTTGACTGAGCTGTCAAGTCTTCCTTAGGATAAACAGAGCAGAGGGGTTGCTGCTTTAAAAACAAGGTATTTTTCTCCTAGGCAAGAAAATTGCTTCCGACAGTGTCAGGGAGTCATAAGACAAACTGCACTTTGTTTCACTACAGAATCTCCAGCCTTTAGAGATCTCCTTCAGGCCTTTCACATTAATTTTCCAATTTTAACCAGAAATTGAGTTTTGTATTTCCTCTAAGAATGTCCACACAAATATTGATATTAGCATCTCTGTAAGTACTAGAATAATCCCTCTTCCCCTGTACCAGAAAAGTAAGATCTTTTTCATCTCTACTACTTTCCTAAGATGACAGAGAAGTCCAGGACTCCTATCTCAAGCTAGAAATAACTAAGGCAAATGATTACAGAAGGGAAGTACAGAAATACCCAAATGCACCTTTAGAACACTCTTACCCTAACATTCATGCAGTATAACTACTCCACTGGAAGAGCAACATCTGAACTCACTAGTCTTAGGCCATTACACTCACAGTCTGATGATGTACTGAACTTAATGACTGCAACTCAGACTCAGCTGACTGAGAATTATTCAATAACCAAAGATTTGAGATGTTTCCTCTTCACACGTTAGTGTAAACACTGGTTAACAGCTTACCTGGATAGGTCTTCACAAAGTTCATCTTATTAAAGTCCTCTGAAATATGAAACTCCTAAAAGCAAAGTGGAACTGTTAGAAAAGATACCACAGTGATATAAGCAATACTGACACCCAAAACAGAGCAATAACCTCACAAGCCAAAATTTGCATAGCAGCAATGTGTCTCTCAAAAACTTGCAGTTTCTCAGGCTGAAGCAGAGCACAGCAATTGCAAATTAGGGTTATTAGTGAACTACAGTTTTCAACAGGAAGCATAATTTCAGAACTGAGTTTGCTGAAGGGAGATTATAGGAAGACAACTCCTTTGTCCCCATCAGGAACAAAAAAACCCTATCTTGTAGTATTTAGGGTTTAAGTATGTGAGCCTTCATAATGGACAGATTTAAGTGAAAGTCTACTCTATTTGATCCATTAGGCTTACTCACATTTTTAAAGTTTCAGCTTACAATTTCAAGTAGTTATTACTAGAATCACTGCTCTCTGTAGCTCTGCATAGGCTATTCACAGTAGAATCACTATGACACTCATGCTGTACTCTGGTTCCTTTAAGGACAGTTATTATTTCAACCTTATTTTCATAGAAACAGGAAACCATTAAAGCATCTGAGAGTCACAAGATTCCCCTCCTTTGCTGAGAAAATAGACAAAGAATACTGATCAACTTTCTGTTCTGCCATATGTATCTGCTCTCCAGGAGAGGGACAGCAATTACAGCAAGGGTATCAAAAGACAGAAGGAAGACTTCCTAGGAAAAAACTAAACCAACTCTGCATTTTGTAATTTCAGATCTAGTGTTAAAATTTCCACATCACAGAAAGATGGGCAGCAAGAAAATCTGAAGACAAGTGTATGGCAAGATTCAGGCAGCAGATCAATACTTCTGGTCAGTAACTGCAGTTCACAACCCCTGTTCCTGCACTGCCAAGGCATTCTGCCCAGCTTAATGTACTCTTCAAAATAATTCCTTGATGAAGTGCAATTGTTTGGGTCCATTGTCACACTAATGACCTAATGACTTCTTGAGGCCAGCTGGCTCACATCTAGCCAGAACCACCCTTTTTTATTTGCAGTCCTCCAATGTACACCTCAGGTGAACTGCCAAGGAGTTCAGCCATTTAGTAGTAGCTGCACTCCAAAAAGAAGGGAAAGAAAACAAATCAGCTGCCAGCAACACCTGATACTCACAGACAATCTAAGCAATTCTAATCTACATTCTGAAGAAAAGTCACAGCAACTTACCATGATAGCTCCATTATCCTGGCCTACAAATATTCGTCTGCTATCATGATGATAAGCCATGGCTGAACATGGTGCTGTCAAAAAAAGAAAGCACATTGCAATTATTGAAACAGAGGTATTAGGATACGCGTAACTTTTAATAAAACCCATTATTTCACTCACAACAAAAACCATTTAAATAGCTTTATAGAAATTAGTCTGCACAGATAATGTCTGTTGATAAGAGAGTTAAACTCCCATATGTGGAGCTAAGGAAAGGCACACAATACAGGAACTCACATATACTGCTGGGAACCATATGCAAACATGATTTCCTGGCACAAGGTACAACTCAGTAAAAGGAATTTTACACAGGCTGAAAGCCTAGCTACCAGCATTTGGATGTCAACTTCATAGGGACTTGTGTCTCAACATCTGTAACTTTTAGGAGTCTCATGTTTTCGAGATTATATATTACCTCTTTCAGTAGAAAACTTCTAAATGCCTACTATTCTTTTTTAAATTAAAAGCTAAAATAGATGTGAAATCCAATGACAATAAAATTACAATAAAGTGTCTTAATTAAAATTTTGCCAAAAAATTTCAATGAAGAAATTCATTCAACTTCCAAATTACAAGGATGAGGAGGATATAGTAATCTAAGCTAAAACCTTTTTCTCCAAGACCCTCAGAAAATGTGGTCTTGAAGGTGCTTTTAGAAATTTAAAGTCAGACAGGACAGCCCAAAATAGTACAGTGTTCATACCGCATAAGGACAAGTCCACCCCTTGGAACTACCTACAGGCACACTTTACTTTGCATAAACCTGTTCAGAGCACAATGTGAATAGTCGATTTAGAAAATGGATAAATTGCTGTAATTTAGACCAACTATTAGGAGAAAAAGGCTACAGCTGGCATTCCTCATCTAGATCCTAGGCTACTCAGCCTGCAGCTGAAAAGACACAGAACATCAAGCAATCCAATTCTTTGGTCTTCACTTAACATTTGTAAACAAATTACTGCAGAAATTGTCACTTCAGACTATCCGTTGTTCGTATGACATTTTACTTTGTTCTTGTAGTCCCTCTTTCTATATGTGGTATGCTTCTAGGTAGCAACTCTGCACTAAAAAGCTACAGCAAAGCACCCAGGCTGAGTGATGTTTTAATATCAAAAAAAGCACACTGACACTCAAGATACACTCAACATCGAAGCAGCTACTCCGTATTGATTTCTCAATAATCTGAATGCTGAAAAAAAAATAATAAATGCATAACTTGGAAAGCAGAAAATATTCTTCTGTCTGAACTTTCAACTAGTGGTTTAAAAAACTCACCTGTTCATCAGACAAGTAATTTGCAAGCATTTGAGGTATCTACAGCTGCAGATCCACACAGTGACTTACCTGGTGAAGGATCTGATTCTGACAGAATGCTGCCCACCACACAGCTAGTTTCAAACTGACATCTAAGCTATAGTTGCTGCAAAGTTCCCAAATTCAAGATGATGAAGCAAATCCAGCACTTGGGGAAACAGGAAGGAAGCATTCCCACATACAGCACCGGTACAAACCCCATCAAGTGCATGGCCATCACTTACATCACTTACATTTCCAGCATCGTACTTACATGACATGGTGTGATAGATGCTGGGCCAGTACTGCCCACTGTCTCTCTTCAGCCATACTCGTATTGTTCTGTGTCACAGGAAGAGAGGGGAGAAAGACAGTTTTAAGTAAGTGTATCATCCCTTGCCTCTGAACCAGTTCATTACTCATATATCAGCTCAAATCCTCTTAACTTTTGTGCTACTCAAACATAATAGCTAGAGAAACAACATAATAGAAATAAGAGTATTCTAATTTAACAAGAAAAACAGCACTAAGAATAGTCACCCCCGGACTCTGAAGGGTTTTCTTCAAACTATTTATCCATTGTGTGAAAATGTATAATGTGTCTAAATGTGTGACTTCCACAAGTGTGACATGGAAATGCTATTTCAGCTCACCTGTGAAACTGCTACACATTACATCCCTTTAATTTTTTCTCCTTGGCTCTGGCTGATCTATGTAAAATTCAAGTTGCAGGAACTTTCCAGCTTTGGCAGCTTGTTTTATAGCAGATTAGCACCACAAATCATTGCCTCACGGAAGTCTGAACTTGTGCATTTTTACAACTTCTCTGTGCAACTCATCCCTCAACAAGCCAGATACTGAATATTAGCAACAGAAGCACCTCATCCTGTAGACCAGCACATTGACATCTCCATCTCCAAATACTGGCATATGGATCCATACAGGATATGGTACCTAGTTGTATATCATTCCCTCTAAGACAAACCTCTACACCCTCATGCATGAATGCAAAGGACAAGCAGCTTTAGTAGCAGTTACTCTGCACTGCTCCTCTGGTTTGAATACAAACAGGATTGACTAGCCAGTCAAATGGGACTTGAAATAAGTTGACAAGACAACTTAGACAGCATGCTAAAGCTCTTTTATAAAAAAAGAATTGCTTTTAATTTTTAATCTTCCAGAATCAGGGCTTGGAAGGAAAGAAAAAAACAGTCTTAAAAAAAATAAATGAGCATTACATCACTCATGAATGTCAAATCCTGGGAGGAGGGATACAAGAATCAGCAAGGAAGTGGAAAGTTATTTCCAACTAAAAACATTCCTACAACAGGCACATTTGAAGGGAAGCTACATCAAGATGTTAAGAGGACACATGTAGACAGTGCTAAGGTTATTTTAAGACTGCTTGAAATTTCCTCTCCAAACCATTGTTTTCCTTCTTGGTACTGTTTAAATCCAACTTCCTCATTCCTAAATGGAAGCCAAAATAATCTGTAAATATGTGTACCTGGAAACATAACTTCACTGAGATGTCTTGTGCCATTTACTTTTAGCTAAAAAAAAATTTTAAAAAATGGGCCTGATATTTATATTTTTTTAGAAAAACAATACGGGATAGATTTTCCTATAGGATTGCCAGTAGGACTTTAACAAAAAAAAACACAGGAAGGGATTGGTATCTTAACATCAGGACTAGAACTATTCAGGTTGAAGATATAAATGTAGCATTCTAATTTTATAATCTATGTAAGGGCTTTTTTTAAAAGACCACTCAAAAATAAAGCAGAAAACACCCATTACTTTCCTTTTCTAAAACTAGAAATCTGCTGAGCACAGACTGCCTCAAAACAATAATTTTCAGCTTTTGAATTAAGTTGCTTTTTATACCAGTTCAGTGGCAAGTGCAGGACAATGGTGAGATCAGGCCCAGGCTGCATGGATTAATGACAAGGAGGTCCTGCTTGACCAACTTGATCTCCTTCTATGATCAGATGACCCACCCAGTGGATGAGGGAAAGGCTGTGGATGTTGTCTACCTGGATTTTAGTAAGGCCTTTGACACTTACAGCGTTCTCCTTGAGAAACTTGTGGCCCATGGCATAGACAGGTCAACTCTTTCATGAATTAAGACCTGGCTAGGTGGCCAGGCCCAAAGAGTTGTGATAAAGAGTTAAATCCAGCTGGCAGCCAGTCACAAGTGGTGTCCCCCAGGGCTCAGTATTTGGGCCCGTTTAATATTTTTGTCAATGAACTGGATGAGGGAATTGAGTGCACCCTCAGCAAGTTTGCAGGTGACACTAAATTGAGTGGGAGTGTTGATCTGCTTGAGGGTAGGAATGCTCTACAGAGGGACCTGAACAGGTTAGATCGTTGGGATGAGGTTTAATAAGACCAAGTGCTGGGTCCTGCACTTTGGTCACAATAATCCCAAGCAATGCTACAGGCTTTGGGAAGAGAGGCTGGAAAGCAGCTTGATGGAGAAGGATCTGGGAGTACTGATAGATGGCCTGCTGACCATGAGCCAGCAGTGTGCCCAGGTGGCCAAGAAGGCAAATGGCATCCTGGCCTGTATCAAAAATAGTGTGTCCAGCAGAAGTAGGGAAGTGATTGTGTCCCTGTACTCAGCCCTGGTGAGGCTGCAGCTTGAGTACTGTGTTCAATTCTGGGTGCCACAGTGTAAGAAAGACATAGAGGTCTGGGAGCATGTCCAGAGAAGAGCAACAAGGCTGGTGAGTGGTTTGGAGGGCATGTTCTATGAGGAGTAGCTGAGGGAACTGGGGTTATTTAGTCTGAAGAAGAGAAAGCTCATGGGAGATCTTACTGCTCGCTACAACTACCTGAAGGGAGGTTGTGGAGAGGCTAGTGTTGGTCTCTTCTCCCAAGTAACTAGCGACAGGATGAGAGGGAATGGGTTTAAGTTGTGCCAGTGGAGGTTCAGGATGGATATTATGAAAAATTTCTTTACTGAAGGAGTGGTGAGATGTTGGAATGGGCTGCCCAGGGAGGTGGTGGAGTCACCATCCCTGGAGGTGTTCAAGATGTGTTTAGATGTGGCACTTCATGATATGTTTTAGTGGTTATGGTAGTTGGATTATGGTTGGACTCAATGATCTTGGAGGTCTCTTCCAACCTTAATGGTTCTATGAGTTTACTCCGGTCCTTTAAATCTTTTGCATTAAGACTGTCTCTTAAAAGTTATCACTTCCTCTTTACAATAACTGCACCCTGCTTCATGGTCAGAAAGTTAACACCTCAGAAGAGAAGTTGCTATTTTTGATAATACAAGAAAACAAAAAACCCCAATGCTTCCAAGTCATTTTGGTGATGCAAATGCCAGCAGTAGCACGGGTTAGGACATACGCATTTTTGATAGCTTTTTTAATCCACTTTTTAAAGCAGCTCGATCATACTCAAATTGGTCTGAACATTTCAGATGGTAGCTTCCACCATTCCTAATTCAACTCTATCACTTCTACCCAAAATGATGTCATTATTTATGATATACAAAGACTAGGAGATATTGTAGTGATTGAGATAATGCATTGCTGATTTTCCCAAAGTAGACTTTGTTTCCTCTCACTATTCTGGCCCATTACACTAAGCTAGGAATTAACGTAAAGGAAGTAAGGATTTGCTTTTTCTAAACAAATTATTGCCTCAAAGTATAATTTGTGGGCTGATAATCAACAATACAGTCCCTCACTGAAGTCAAGAGCCCAAGCAAATAACTGCAGGAGTTAGCAAAATTAACTTCTGAAAGCTCCTTATTTTGGTTAAAGTAAGATTTGGACTTAGCTATCCTCATGCTTGCAAAGCTAAGCTGTCAGACAGCTATACATCTAATTATTCAAAGCTCTGACTGAGCAAAATTTGAAGAACTTGTTTCACAGTAGTCAGCAAATAGCCTGTGCCAAAATCCCACTTCTCCTCAATTCTCTCTCCTACAGATCTGTTGTTGTGGAGAACCTCCTTTTGTTAGGACAAATTAATCTGTGAAATACCAGTTCTAGCTTAAAGAACTAGAGAACTCTTCCAGTAACGTCGCTTCCACAGTCTCCTTCTTCTATAAAACTGTTTTATTATGAGAACTACCATATCAATCCTAGAGTCTTTAGCACTCTTCTCAAAACTTGGTCTTTATTTAATGAAGAGGCCTGTGCTCAGTACCTGGGAAGAGCTGGATACTGCTCACCTTTCCTTAACCATTCCCTATTAAAGGCCTAGAATGACACAGGTTTGTTTGACAGCAGTCTCACTAAGAATGTAAAAATGTTGAAACTCATTAAGGGTCACCTAAAGACAGTTACATACGTTTAAAATTATAGTAGACTCAGATACCCAGGAGTGGCTGAAAGAAGTAAAACAAGATTAAAAGAGATGTCCAGACTTCCTTAACATTGTGTATTGAACCAGAAGTTGCTTTCAGCTAGAAAGCATGCACATTTATAGAAGAGTAATTTAAAGGGGTTGTTGTTGTTATTGTTTTAACATAAGGTAAAGAAACACACACACAAGCGATCTTTAAGCAATACTGAGTGTGGCCCTGCCATACTCTAAGGATTTTGCTGTTTCTTTTGCACAGTGAGTAAGCACTTAGTAGTACTGGGGAAAAAAATTGGGGTTAGAGAGCACATAAAATCCCTCACCATTCCAACAGTGTTTGTGCTCATGCCACAGAAGTTGCCCTCTAAAAGCCAAATGCACATATGTCAGGGAGAAAGAAATGAGGAAAGATTAGCAGGTAAATCCAAACTTGTTACAATGCAAGTACTGCTGCAAATACTACACAGCTACACTAGTCCTGCTCCCATAACTTAATTTTCCTAACACCTTCAAACCACTAACAATCTATATCAATTGTTTTCCTAACGAGAACAGGAGACTGCATTTTTCTGGTAGTCATAACCAGAAGTACTTAGCTTGCTATTGAACATGTTCCCAAAACAGCACTAGGACTCTGGTTTAATCAGAGTGCAAAGCAAGCTCAAGGACACAGCTTGCAGCTGATGCTTTTATCAAATTTCTGCTCAGTAAAACATTAGTTTTTACCAATATTTAAATTCCAAAACAAAAAACCACAAAATCCTAATGCCACAACTTAAGCAGCTGTTCCAATGCTGCTGATGGTGACACACCAACCAGCATTCAGATGTGCTAGTGACTCCAGAGATGCTGTTAGCCTGTAGTAAATATAAAACCTTCATCTTGCTTTTAGGTTCTTGTACACTAGGTTACCATTCCTTGGAATCCCCAGCTATGGCTGGGAAGCACTCATCTTGCTTCTAGTTATTTGTTGGCAGAGAACAAGGATAACAAGGCTAAGCCCAGAGATTTGACTCTATCACTGATCTGTGCAGCCCACGCTGGCCTGTCTCAGCTCTGGGAAAACATAAGCTAGCCTTGAGCAGAGGGATGTAACTCTCAGCTGGTATCTGAGCTGGCTGCGCAGACTAAGGGACACACTGCAGCAATTCCAAACATTGTCTTGGAGCCAGGGTCAGGCAAGATGCCCGCAGGGATGTAGAGTTAATCATTCTTTCTAGGTAAGTTCTGAGAAAGCTTCACAGACAGCATGTAACCTGCTGAAAATTCAGAAAAATAACTACTTACCTCCTGCAGGTATTCCTGCTTTCCTGCTTCCTTTTGTGCCTTCAAAACTTTTTTTTTTTTAAAGCTACATTTTTAGTGGTATTCACAGATGCACTATGGTATCTTTTGCACCCTCAAAAAAATTAGAACCTTCACTTTTAATTCTAGGAAAAACCATCTAAAATGGAAAGAACTACAACTCCTCTATGAAGAGGATAATCTACAACATTACTGGAGAATGTTTGTGCACCAGTGTTTTCCTCACTACTTATCTTGTAAACACATTCCTCTCTCCTTGTTATGAAATATCTGACAGCCTTAACTGTATTAAGATATAATAAAAAATACTTTGGCCCTACTCTTTTGGTACACAGCAGCCCTTTCATTTCTCAAACTCTGCACTTTGCTTGCAGCTAGCAGCATAATTAGGAAAAAATTTTCACAGTAAGAGTGGTCAGACACTGGAACAGGCTACCCAGGGAGGTGGTGAAGTCACCATCCCTGGATGTGTTTAAGGGTCATTTGGATGTGGTCTTGGTGGATGTGGTTTAGGGGAGAACTTTGTAGAGTACGGATGATGGTTGGACTCGGTGATCCCAAAGGTCTTTTCCAGCCTGAATAGTTCTATGATTCTATAATCAGTTATGCAGCATTAACACCTACACACCATTTTTAGTGAACAAACAGAAGAGCAGCAAGTTTGATAACACATTAAATAGTAGGTGAAGGATATGCGAGTGAGTAGGCTTTGATGTACTGCAGGAGGTACCCCAGATTAGAGGTAAATACAGTGCAGCAGTTTCTGAAAGTTTAAAGACCTAAGTAAATTCCCATAGTAAAGCAAGCTACAAGGATTTAGTTTCCAAAGCTTCTCTTAGAAATTTACACTTGCCTAGATCAAGAGACAGCTGCATCCTTAGCTCTTACCAATACAGTCTAAGCATGCAGACTGCTAACCTGCAGCATGAGACTGAGTTTAAAGGCTGGCACTGTCTGCTACAGGCAAGCTCCTGCAAGCCTGTACCATGAAAGTCCATTCAGATTTAACTCAGACATGAACTCTTAAACATTGCTGCATCCTCTTCTCTTCTTCAAGACACTCATCAGGGCAAACTGAACACAAACATGTTAAGATGCAGCTCACAATGGCACCTGTGAAGCCAACTTCATCCTGCACAGTCCAGAACAACAGCATGTAAGCACAACAAAAAGGAAGCTGCTCAGCCAAAACCTGTTTTCAACACAGACTACAGAAAGTCACTTCCACTGGAAGAGAAGAGACCAACCAAGTCCATCTTTCAATCAAACCCAGAAAACATTCTTAACACATCCAAGTGTCACTGACTGCTGCAAGTCAGGTACAATTACCACCACAGTTCAACACATAGCAGCAGTGCTTCAAAGGGTCAAGATATAAATGCTGCTGCTTTTACATAAGCATTATTACATCTATTATGCTAATATTAATGCACCTATAAGCATTTTTGGATGGCCTATTACAACAGGC